GCTCAGACCACCTTACAAGTTCTAGAAGCTGGTGTTGAGGGAATTCCCATCTGGAGGCCAGGGGAGGGCTCTCATTTTACACAGATCCCTAAAGGATGTCGACCTGGTCAGGGGGGAGAAAGGAGGGGATCAGGGAAATGGAGAGGGAGGCGGACGACAATGACTAACTTCTTCCGGGGGTCTGGCTCCCCCCTTCCCTCCTCAGACACGGGTGGCTACCAAGAGAGAGAAAGTGGTTTCTGAGTTTGCACATCTGAGCCAGTTCCTGGAGGAACAACGGAGCATCCTCTTAGCTCAACTGGAGAGGCTGGACGGGGACATTGTGGGACAACAGGAGGAGTTTGAGAATCTGGTCAGTGGGGAGATCTGTCGGTTCAGTGCTCTGATTGCCGAGCTGGAGGAGAAGAACAGGAGGCCGGCGAGGGAGCTCCTGACGGTGAGACTTGACCACCCCCACCTGCACCCTCCCCCTGTTCTACTCTGACCTTGACCTTTCAACAGGACCTTCCTAAGCCATGTCCCCTCTGCTCAACCATCGCTCATTCTAAAGGGGAGCTGGGTCACAGGGTCATGGGTCTTGCTTCCCCAAGACTTCCCCAAGCACTTTCCTCTCTTCTCTGTCTCTCCAACCCAACCCCTGTCAAATAAGGAGGGTGGCTTCCTCACACCCCTCACAGGGACACCGGGGCGATGCTGCAGTAATGTGACAGGGAACGTCGCACTTGGAAAAGTGCCCAGTGCTGTGCCAACCTACGTCAGGAGCTGTTTAGAAGGCAAATGACTCTCTCCGACCTCAGCATGTCTCCAACAGGAAGGTCTCAGGCTAGTTTCATTCGTTCCATGGGACGAGAGATCGGTATCAGGTTCCCAACCAGAAATTGAGTCATCTTGCGGGAGAGGGCGGGGGAGCACTTTAGATGGAAACACGAGCCCTTTTGGCGAGCAGGTGGCCGCCACCGAGTCACAGCACTGTTCAGGGCTATAAAATCAAGGAGTCGGGTCTGTGATCTCTAGGAAGCGCTGGACACCCTAGAAGGGATAGCTCTGTGGGTGTGGCGTCCTTGCCCTGTCCAGGCCTAGGAAGGTGGTATTTTGTCTTTTCTAGTTATAAGACAAGTACAAAGATGGGTACTAATTCCCTGCTGGCTCTCTCTCCCCTCCCTCCCCTCCACTAGGATATCAGAAGCACTCTAATAAGGTAAGTGATGCAGGTCCTCTCTTCTCTTTTTACACACACACACACACACACAACACACACACACACACACACACACACACACACACACGCTTGCCGCCTACTTAATGCCATGCAAACATCAAACATAGC